ATATTAATCACTCGAGCAAGCGTGTTTGTAAATTGTAATAATAATTTTACAATAATTGAACATTTCCCGTTCATAATCATGCATATTTTCTCGGACACATAGACAATTTTTATTATATAGAATTGCAGGAAGACCGATATTCGCTTTCTCCGAGCTCACAGATACGCCAGTGATGAGTATACCGTGGGATTTCGTGGCAAAACAAAAAACGAAGATGAGCTTATTCTATTTCTTGTTATATTCTAAAACGATGCATAAAGAAAAGTGGAGGTAGATTTCTTATCAAACATGTTATGTATAATACTATCCTAAGCTCGTTGCCACGGAAATGTAAACAGCGAAGTGAAAAATAGATGTCCAAGCATTTTATCCGTTTAACCCAAAGATAAACATAGTAATTATTTAATTAAGGAAATAGAGAATACTCAGGATGATTCCTACGTTGCAAACCAGAGTATTTTACGGTTTGAAAACCGACATAAACTCAAATGCTCATTACATTTCGGACGTAGAAATTTTGTACCCGGTTGGAAATGTAATAGCAGTTCATAACATTCCTCAATTTCGACAAAGATTGATACGTTTACCAGAGAAGCAACAGATAAATATAATCCAGGTCTCGCATAGCAAGTAAGTTCGAACAAGCTGGATCGTTTGGTTTCTCATTTTAAAACATTGTCTTTCGTTTCCTAAAGGAAATATGTCGCTACTTGCGAAGTTGGGGAAAAGCCTACAATATCCATTTATGATCTTCAAACGCTTAAGAAGAAAAAGGTTCTCGGGATACCGTACGATGCTCCTGGCGTGACGAAGTTCACTTGCATAGGATTCACGTTTGACAATAAGTACATAGCAGCGGTCACGGGGGAGCCGGATCAAACGATGCTCTTTTACAATTGGGAAAAGGGAAAAGTGGAATCTAGCTTGAAAGTGGGTACTCCGCAAAATCCAATGGCCATTGTAGAACTGATAGCTTGTAATCCATCGGACATAGGGGTGATCGCACTCGGAGGTCCATGTACTTTTAAATTTTTAACACTTTCTGACACCATATGGCGACCCTATGGATTCTCTAAAGCAGACAATATACTCTCGTGCTCGATGGCTTGGTTGAATTCAGATAGATTGTTGGTTGGAACTAAGGACGGTAGAATACTTTACTTAGAGAATGGAGACTTAAAAAACATTTACAAAATGACTGATACTTTGCATATGAATCTTAAAATTCGCGAGGAATATGTTATACAAGCTAGTAGCTCGTTGACAGCTGTAGATTCGAAGCAAGACATACCACAAGAAAATTACGTTCGCTGTTTAATCGCATTTCAAAGAGGTTTCGCATATGCGTTCGGACCGAGAACAATCGTGGTATTCGAGAAAGAAGGCCTGCATAAGTATGTGAAAAGAAATATTTATGTAATACCGACGCAAGTATCGAAACAAGACAACGAAAAGCTGTACATAGTCAATAGTATACAAATTAACTTGAGCTACGATCGCTTGTTAATCACCACTGGATGGCCTCAATTATTTTACGCGAAATTATGGGGACCGGATTTGAACGTGGACCCGGAGCCACAATCGTTACAGATCATGGGTCAAGCATTACATTTCGGCCCTATAAGCGGTCTCTCGATGTGCGCTTGGAAGTCGATCTTCATGACTTTCGGGGACCTCGATCACAGCGTAAGATTATGGGACTTCGAGTCGGAGACTATGATTTTACACAAGCAATACGCAGAAGACATTTGCGGTATCGCTTTGCATCCCACAGGTCTATTTTGCTTGATCGGTTTTAGCGATAAATTACGATTCATGAGCATACTGATAGACGATCTGTTGCCCATGGAGGAATTCTCAATAAGATGTTGTAAGACCATGGAGTTCAGTTACGGTGGCCACATGTTCGCTGCCGTTAACGGGAATATCGTACAAATTTATTCTACCATCGGTTTCACAAGTTGCTTTATTCTGAAAGGACATACAAACAGGGTGAAAGCCTTGTTATGGTCACAGACGGACACGAAGCTGTTGACGATGGGGGCGGAAGGTGCTGTTTATCAATGGGACATTAACACTGGTAAACGTACTTCCGAAATTATTATAAAAGGCATCGTTTTACTCGACATCGCCCTTTCCATCGATGAACAGACCTCGTACTGCATCGCTGACGACAGTGCTATACACGAGATAAAAGAAAACTCGGTAACGTCGATAGTTCGACTCTATGTTGTATCATGAAAGTACAGAAAAGCGTATACCGTATCGTTTGCATTAGGTTCGACAACATAATGTACCGGACGTAAATATGTATTGTATGGTACTGGGAAAAGATGATCAATCTCTGTTTCTCGTTTGCCCCGGCGGTATAATTCTATCAGTGAAAACTCCAGTTCAAGAGCCAGTACAATATTCGACTTTCCACATGCATTCTGTTGATATTACAAAGGTAACGAGATAGACATTAAATCGAATGATCTAAATATACAATATACCATATTTCTTATAGATCGCCCTCTCTTACAATGAACAATACTTGATATCAACCGCGGTTGACGGAGGCCTGTGCATTTGGAAAGTGAATTATCCCGAAGGAAAAGGGAAGATCGGGAAGGAACTAAAATATACGAACGAAGTGCTCATCAGTAAAGGGGACTTGGTAGAAAAGATAAATACGATTATCGGGCTGAACGTTAGGATGAGGGAACTGGAGACCGAGCACGCATATAAAATGCGTCAAATCGAAGTGGTACACAACGACAACGTCCGGGACATACATCAGGGATACCTCGAAGCTATCAAAGAGCTGCGGGAGAAGATAAGCAGGCAGCAAGAGGATCACAAGAACGAGTTAAACGCGATAAATGTGGAGATAGTGAAGATGAAGGAGCAGCACGAAGACACGATGAAGCAAGTCGAAGCGAATTACGATGCCAAACTTATTATGGAGTACGATAGATACTTGGCGCTCGAGAATTCGATGAACGCGATGCGGCAAGATTACGAGAAACGTTTGGAGCAACTGGAGAGTCACGGGATTCAGGAGTTGGAGAAAGCGACGAATAAGTACGAGGCTCTGCTCCACGAGAAGAAGCTGCAGTTGGAAGAGAGCCAAGACGAGATGACCCAACAAGTGCGAGTTCACGAACAGATGATGACGGAGGTAGAGGACGACGCTGACAAGGAGATATTGGAACTGAGAACGAATTACGAGGCGCAATTGTGCGAGGAAAAAGAATTGAATATACGACTCAAGGGCGAGGCTGGAATGATGCGGAACAGATACCTGGCCAGCTTGAAGGATGTCGAGGAACTGAAGAGGCAAGTGGAACGAGTTCAGAGCGAATACAGTTACTTCCAAAAGACTATTCAAGAGTTGGAGAAGGACAAGGAGGATCTGAAGAAAGAAATAGACGAGAGAGACGTAACGATCCACGATAGGGAACGGCAAATATATGAGCTGAAGCGTACGAATCAAGAACTGGAGAAGTTCAAGTTCGTTTTGAACTACAAGATCACGGAGCTGAAAAATCAAATAGAACCCCGGGACCAGGAGATCAAAGAGCTCAAGGAGAAGATCCGGGACATGGAAACGGAACTCGTGAATCTTCACAAAACCACGGTCAGCTTGGAGTTACAATTGTACGAACTGAGGGAAAAGTTGGGAGCCGCGAGGCGAGAATTGCAATACGAAGTACATCGGAATAAACGGTGCCAACAACTCATGAAGAAGATACGAGTCGATTTACTGGATGCTTCCGGGCTGGTACAAGAACCAAGTGCTTTAAAAACTGCCATAATGAAATTGTATCATAAATATAGTTCGAGCGACGAATTTTTGCGTACGCGCAAAGCCGATTTAGATGCACAATGTGAATTCATAAAGCAAAGGGATCATCTGGAGCGAACTATCGCGTCCCTGAGGAAGCAAGTCTTCCAGGATAAAGAGACAGGTGGTAAAGATATAGATAAAACGGTAGAGGAGAATATTATGTTGATCACGGAACTGAACGCTTTGAGAGAGGAGTTAAAAGAGGCGAGGAGACACATTCAGCATATGGACGGTTTGTTGGGATTTACAAAGAAAGAAGTGAAACCGTCCGAAGCGAGAAAGAAACTGGAGCAGGCGTGTTACGGCCACGAGCAGCTGAGAGACGAGTACAGATCTCAAATGCAAGAGTGCCAGAATATAATAATTGCATTGAAAGACGACATGTACAAATTGATCAGCAAGATACCCTGCGAAGAACCGGAAACTAAAATAACATTTTAGGTACATTTTTATTATTTTTAAATAAGATATATAGAAGACTGTTTTAAAGGAATTTGTTCATAAATCTTGTACATAGTATAACAGTAAGAAATTCGATTCTAAATCATTTACTGCTTAAAAAATATCGATAACAAAATAGTAAATAGTAATTGCCAGCGTGTTTATAAGTTAATTAAAATTAACGTAACATTTAAAGGACAAATGGAATGATGGCTTTTCTACATTTTGGGTATTGAGAAAACTCTTTCTTGTATGCTCTGTGTTTTCCTAATGCCCAAATACTCATTTGATAAGCACCAGCAAAAGTGAAAAGTCCAGCTGAAAGATGTACGATTATCAAATATACTGTTTTATTTCATTTTCAAATGAAAAATTATGTGCGTATTCATACCTGGAAGACACGAAGTCATGATGGTGAAACCAATCCAGCTACCAACTTCGTAAGTGTAATTTGGGCAAGAAACGAAATTAAATAAGATTGTTAAAGGATTGCTAGTGGGTACTGGTATTTTCCTGACTGTAGATCCCGGCGGTCTCAAGTTCCTCAGAGCTATATGAATACTCAAGTTACCCAATTCACAAATAGAGAATATTCCCAGTCCAGTGAGGAACTGAGTATAACCCGGCGCCGTATACAATGGATGATTTACATGGTACGCTATGTACATAGCAAACAGCCAATAGTACGAACAGTTCTTAAATAGATTTTGCAGGGGCATTGTTGCGTGACTGAATCTATGCACGAACAGTGTTTCTAGTAGCCTTTTCGCATAATGCACAGCCCAACAACCAGCCGCCACGCTAAAATATTCAATTAAACATACAATCTTCGATAAAAAAATATTGAATAAAAGATTGGAGGAAATTCCAACTTACTGGACTACATTATCAATTTTTGATGTGGCAACATCACCGTAAAATATCCATGGACGTTGGTATATCCATAGATATAAAACCAGTGGGCCAGCGTATTCTATCAAGAAGACGGTTTTCCAACTAATCTGAGGTCCAAGATCTTTCAGATATAATTTTCCACCATCGGAAATGGACAAACTCCTTAAAGTATCTGAATCAGACAAAGCTTTTCCTTTGGGTTCTAGTCTCAAACTTTGTCTATGAACATTGGGCCCCTTTTTCAATTTAAACAATTCCTCTTTAACTTCGCGTATAGTTGCATTATGTTTCACCTATAAATAGTAATAAGTAAAATACGTACCGTCATAGCAAAAAGTGCTCATTGGCAATTCAAATGAGGATTACACTGAACATCATGCTTTCATTAAATCATACACAGTGTATCGGTGAATATGTAAATTGTGTCGTGCATTACGTGAATGAATGAACAATAGTGAGCACTCAGATAATGATTGATATCCTTCATTGAATATGAAGGAGTCATAAAAGTGCCGATATTAAAGTTAAACATATATCATTACTTACGGTCACGTTTGCTAGGAATTTCGATGACTTCGCGGTCAGGATTTGAATCTAAATAAAAAGAAAAGTACATTGAATCGAGACCGCTGCTGGATTAAGAAATGTTCATTATTGATTTATCTGAATGAATACCTCCATTATTGGATGATCCGATTTACAGTGACTTTAGAACTTGAAAAACGAAGCGACGATTACTCTGCAAGACCGTGCCACACAACCACTGCGCGAATGACCTGAGTGGCCTGAGTAAACCAGCGAACGTGTATGGATCGTATGATTCGAGGCGCTGTAGTCGTATAATCGCTCAAAGTTCAATTTCTTTCCGATGACCAATGAAATTCTGCTCGTGAACTTATTTTAAATGCCGAAAGAAAATCGCCTCCGGCTACAATCAGAAAATTATGCAATCGAACTTTGAACTTCGTTAAACTTTATAAAATCATACGTTCGATCACTCGAAATATACTTTCTACGATATGTATAATTCTCTTATGTACATATCAATGTGACTACACAAAGCGCAAATATTAACTTGAACATTTGCAAAGGAATAATAATTACAAGGATTCTCTCTCTTTCTCTTTTTCTCTCGCGTGCATTTTCGCACTCACTGTAATTGCGTGCAACTTAACGAGAGTATAATTATGCTAATCGAGAGGATATTGTTTACACAACAAAAAGAGATCCTGTTTCATACATGAATATTCTAAAATCAAATAGCATCGAGCAAACTTCTATGCTGTCGGTACTATACGTACTCTGCAGTACTCTGTTCAACGATTACAGATCAAACTCCACAGATGTCCGTATCATGATGTCATCGGGAGCAAATTCAAATTCGCATTGAAGCGGCGTTGTTAGATGTCGTTGCGCCGATTGAGGACCGAAAGTTGGCGCTCGCTGTCTTTCCGTTGTCAATAACGGACAGTGGCAGTATCCCGGCACAAAATCCCGGAAACATTTCGTTGTGTAAAATTCGACGAATCTCCGGATGTAATTTCGAGTGATCGCGCATTCATTTTGGGATTGGTTGAAATTCGCGTACCGGTAGCCGTTGCTGTCGCGCGGGTTACGCGACGTAACGTTTTAACTGGCGATTTGTGAAACGGGCGTGCCTGCAAGGATCGGCGAGACGTCCCTGACGTGAAAATATACAACGGCCGCGAGAGGCGGCGAACAACGACAGCCAGACTGCGACTGTGACTGCGACAACGAGAACGGTGAACAATAGCGTTAACAACAGCGGCGGAGGAGCGACGACGGCGCGTGCAGAGCAAAATAGAGCAGAACAGGAGGGACGAAGAGGCACGGCGGTGGACGATAGGAACCCAGCACCGCCGCGTGATTTTGAACGCGAACGTAACTGTCAACGGTCGAATTCGGAGGTCTACCGATCGGCGAGCGAACGCGTAGGGTTTCTTAAGCAAGGATCGCTGGCACAGTTTTTCATCGCCACAAACGAGCAACGCTGAGTTTTCGTGTTCAACTCGATCCGGTGAGAAACCGGTCGTTTTACGGTGGATAGCTACGGCGTGAGAACACGACTAAATGACCATGGACCACGGCATGTGCAACATCGAGACCGGGCACAGCATAAATATCCAAAGGACGGACGGTGAGTAAAACGCATCCCCGGCACGTATTTTTAGATATTTTCACCGGTGCAACGCCGATCGTCCTAATTTTTTATACCGAGAGAACCCTTCGCTCTGTCGACTGCTCCGTTGACACGCGCAGATTCCGGCCCTTAAAAACATACGTTAACAATTCGTAGCCTTGATTCGCGCCAACGAACGTCGTCGACGCGTTCCACGATCAACCTTTACGATTCAGATCGACCCAGCTCCGTCAATGGCGCGCGCCTCGACACCTATTATTCTGTCGCATCCTACGTTTCCCAACTATAGGAATATCGTCACGACGAGCGGTATCTACTGTATACGAGCGCGAATACTTACCCTTCGCATGCTGATCTTATCACGCCATATTTGTTTCTGTTTTTGCCGTTTTCAAACGGTGTGTCTACACGAGCCGAGGATAGGGTTAGGCAAATGCCGGCAGGGTACGCAGCGATATCCAGTATCAATTTGCAATAACGTAACGGACGCGGTTCGATACTACGTAGCTCGCTGGAACACGAACGGAGGCATCCTTTCACCGCGTGCAGGCTCATTCACGTTCGTTCGCGTTCGTTCTTGCAACGAGACCAGAACGAGAGCCTCTTACACGCTCCAAATGCTGCACATTTTATAACATTTGGCAAGGCATTGATCGGGTTCGATCCCTTTCGTTAGAAAAGCCTCCGTTCTGCGAAGACATCGTGTCATTCTTTCACGAGCTAAAACTACCGTTCAACGTAGAGACGAATGACTCGACAGTGCTTCCAAGAGCAATTGTAAATCTTAAGTACCTTTAATTGATAATTATTTGCACACAGTCTAGCTTTGCGAATTATTTTCTTGGCACCTGTCCGAAATCTCGTCAAGACGAGCCGACCATGCATGATTATTTATTCGCTGATCTCCGTGAATGAGTCAGAGCGTTCGCCAAGAAAGGTGAGGCTGACTTCACTCTGAGGTGATCTTCGATCCACGCGATGCGATTGAATTCGCGAGGCCGATTGAAGACGTCCTCGAGAATTTCGGAAAAACGCCGAGAGCCAAAATCTCGGATCGGTGAACCAATTGCGGTCATAATATTTATAGCTCGCACGTGTACAATATAAATAGTATAAGCAGGGTAGCGAGAAGCTTCGTTCTTGGGCTCTCATCCGATTTGGTGATTACCGGAAAGAATCCAGTTACGGTAACGAGCTGCATAACCGATCGGTCATTAGGAGCGTTTCACGCTTAGTTGGAGTCAGCTGCTCGATCCAGGAGCCGAACGAGCCTATAGATGCGTTGAAACGGCGCGTCGCGGTGGCTTGCGTGGCGACGCAACAAGTGGCTGGGTCCCACGGATCCGTCGACGAAATCCGCGGCCGTTCTGCGTTCGTGTGCCTTGCTCGAAATCGAAAGCAACCAGGGGAACGCGTGGTTGCGACGAGGCGCACCGAGTTGCGTGCACGTGGGCGATGCATCCTTATAAGGACGGCTGTCGCGAGATTCTTACCTCGGCGAACCTTACCTTGCCTTTTATCTGCTCTTACGTCACCAACGATCGTGTTTCCCGCCGAGTTTCACTGATTCCGCGCATTCGAACCGATGTATCCTCAAGGTATCGGCGCGTACTTACGGCCTTGAAATCAATCCGTCCGTTCCAGGTCGCATCCATTCAGCAGTTGTTTCCGGCGTTAATTGGGCGCAGCGCACGGTTACCGTAGAATGGTTCGAGAGAGGCGAGACCAAGGGGAAAGAGGTAGATATCGCGGAAGAAGAGGCCGACCCGGAAGACCTTTGACGTTACTCGTTTTGGTTACAGGTCGAGATCGACGCGATTCTCGCCTTGAATCCCGATCTGAATCAAAAAACCATGGGACCACCTCATGTCATACCTGGGAACAATCATGTGCTGTCCTCCAGAGCAAGGGTACGTATCGCTTGTGATCGCTCCTTTCCCCATATCGTTAGATTCATCAGCCTCTCGCGGCTGACGATCTGCCGAACGTAGGAGCCCACTTTCAGAGCGATAAAACGATAGCCGAGTAAATGGGTAAAATGGGATACTTGACCTAGTTCCTCCGTGAGCTGCGTTTTTATCGCGTGCACCGTATTTACACGCGATCGGCGAAATTAGATAATACACGATCAGTTTTCACGCAAACCCGTCAGCCGCGTTCCTCGCCCTTTCGGTGCAACGGCGGAGCTCCGACAGTCTGCACCGATCGGGCGACTACGATCGAATCGCTTTTCGTTCCCGCTATTAACGCTCTAACATATTTTTTCCCCCTTATGGACGCTGCTCATTATCACGGATTTGGGCCTGCGATGGATCATCTGTCCGATCGAATCCCAATCGTCGACTCATCGTCCCGCGCCTTTTCTCAACGACGCTCGTCGATTCCCCTTCCTGTAAAATGCTTTTCATTTCTGTCCGAATCGTCTACCGAATTTTCGATTCGCGCGTTCGCGTCGCGATATAAATCCGAACGAAGCGCAGGATTCCTCAGGCGAAGAGGACGAGGGGGTGGACGAGTCGGAGAACCAAGAGGAGGGCTCCCTCGGACGACACGGCGTTCACGTCGCAAGAAACGGCCTTGCATCCGCAACGCTTCCTGTACGAGTCACTGTATCTGTCTTCCCGGTAAACGCGCGGTGCCCACGTTCCCTCTCTATCTCCTCTCTGTCGCGCATCATTCTTCTTTTCTATTCCCTACTGTGTGTCAGTTTGTCGCGCTTGTGGATCGATCGCCACTCGATAGATAACACCAATTTTACGTTCCTTTAATTTTTCACGGACACCTCATGATTCACCCCTTTTGTATTTCCATATCATTTATTTTACATTGGAGAATTCGGCGTAGGCACACTCCGAGCAATGCGTTTTGTTTACCCATTTATTTTTGTTTCATAGAATATTTTACCTCGCACTATTACTTGTTTTTTGACGATGCTACGATAAATTTTCTATCTTTTCTTTTACAGCATTCGGCAAAGCCATCGATCCCAGTAAAAGGTACGTGTTATACAATTTCAAATTAGCTTTACATATTCGAAACTCAATGTCCACTTGGGCTATCTACGAATCGATTTCTCGAGCTGCCGTAGAAGCGGCAGCAGGCGCCGGTGCGAATTTCGCTGTTCTAGAGTATCGACGCTCCTGCGCTGTACGTAAAACATATGTAGACAAGGGCAAAGACCTCGGACGTCGGAGCGCGTCGTAGTAAACCAAAGCTGCTCGTGCTTGCTTCTGCTCCGTTCAAACGATTTTCGCGATGAGATTCGATCCGTTGGGTTACTGTTTCGGAAGGAAAAATAAGATTAAAAGCGTCGAGGATGGAAAGATCGAGGAAGGATTTCAAACTTCCTCGGAGCAGATTTCTGAACATGGTATCGTGCGAATCAGAAAACTTGTAAATTTAGGCAGTCAGCAGGGGCAATTTAATCTTTACAATTCTTTATCTACCGCTGATAGAGAATTTTATTTATTAATCTCCTTCTTACTATTTGCCGAATCTTACACCTCTTGTCCTGCACTATAACCACGTGATTCGATTGATACACTCTTGCGTTCAAATTCGATTGAATCATTTTAGCTCGAACGAATGACGTATCTTTTTCAGCTGCTATCAACAGGCCACGACCGCCTGGTCGGCCAACTAACATTATGACATCGGGAACCGCCGTAAACGGTGAATCCGTGGCCGCGTTGACGGGCCGCCGGGAGTTGGAGAACATACCACCGACGCCGACCGCGACCTTGGCTTGCTTCAATCAATCAAGCGAATCAAAATTCAATCAGACGAAGCAAAAACAGCAGCAGCAGCAGCAGCCGCAGGTACCACCACAGCAACAAGCACAAGAGAACGGTAGGGGTAGGCGATCGAACGTGGTGAAGGAAGTTGAGAGGCTGAAGAAGAATCGAGAGGAGAGGAGACAAAGGCAGGCCGAGCTGAAAGAAGAAAAGGAAGCCATGATGAATCTGGATCCTGGAAACCCCAACTGGGAATTTCTTGCTATGATAAGGTGAGTTGCTGATCGTAGATAGAGAACTGCAGCTTTCACTGAAATGATGGTTTTTGTTCGCAGAGAGTATCAGAGCAACATCGACTTCAGGCCCCTACGGGAGACGGATACCGTAGAAGATCATCAGATCACGGTGTGCGTCAGGAAACGCCCACTGAATAAGAAGGAAGTCGCGCGCAAGGAGGTGGACGTGATCAGCGTGCCCAGTAAAGATCAGATGGTGGTCCACGAGCCGAAGGCCAAAGTAGATCTGACCAAATACTTGGAAAACCAAATCTTTCGATTCGATTACGCATTCGACGAGACCTGCACGAACGAGATCGTTTACAAGTACACCGCGAAACCTTTGGTGCAGACAATATTCGATGGCGGAATGGCCACGTGTTTCGCTTATGGCCAAACCGGAAGTGGGAAAACGCACACGATGGGCGGCGATTTTAACGGGAAGACGCAGGACTGCAAGAAAGGGATATACGCGATGGTAGCTAAAGACGTGTTCAAATACCTTAACTTAGCGAAATATCGCCCGTTGAATCTAGTGATCTGCGCGAGCTTTTTCGAGATCTACTCCGGCAAGGTGTTCGATCTGTTGGCGGACAAGGAGAAGCTTCGAGTTTTAGAGGATGGCAAGCAACAGGTATTCTCAGTTATTTATAGATGCAATAGATAAATTCTGTGTTTCTTGGATACATTTATTTTCAATGATACGTAGGTACAAATAGTGGGACTGACAGAGAAGGTCGTGGAGACTTGCGACGAAGTGCTGAAGCTCATACAGCACGGGAACAGTGCCAGAACCAGCGGGCAGACGAGCGCGAATTCAAATTCGTCACGATCGCACGCGGTATTTCAAATCATAGCGCGATCGCCGGGCACGCACAAGATACACGGCAAGTTCTCTTTGATCGATCTCGCGGGTAACGAGAGGGGTGCTGACACATCGTCCGCCAACAGGCAAACTCGTAAGTATGTCGAACTTTGGAGACCTTTCTACGTTCAGTAACTTGGTCGTTTTCATAGGAATGGAAGGAGCCGAGATCAACAAATCGTTGTTAGCGTTAAAAGAATGTATCCGAGCTTTGAGTCGCAAAGGCACGCATCTACCCTTTAGAGCTAGCAAGTTGACGCAAGTATTGAGGGACAGCTTCATTGGGGAAAAATCAAAAACCTGCATGGTAATAAAATCTTTTAATCGATATCAAGATATATATGCTATAAAGTATCCTGTTCACTCTCTGTTCACAGATCGCGATGATCAGTCCGGGAATGAGTTCTTGCGAGCATTCATTGAACACTTTGAGATACGCAGACCGAGTGAAAGAGTTAGCTGCGACCGATCCAACAGAAGCGAAGGTTTCGCCGACCGACGATGACCGGGAGTTGAAGATCGAAGAGGAACCGAACAACAGCGTACTGTCGGACAGCGATTTGGCGCAACTCAGATCGCTGAATGTAAGTTCAGAACTTGATGTTCGTCGTTCGCGATGTTTAACTGTTTCGTGTTCTACCAGGAGGGTGAGATCTCCCAGGATCTGTACACGTTCCACGAAGCGGTGTCCGCGCTGCAGATGCTCGAAGAAGAGATTCTGGAAACGCACAAAATGGTCATGGACGATACGACCAGATTCATGGATGACGCGCGTAACGTGTTCACCATGACCCACGAAGTAGACTACGACCAGGAAGGTAAGAGAGCCATTTATTACCTATTGTTTGCGATTGATTCCGAACCTTGCATCCGCGTATACATTGCGCGCACGCACGTACGCTTTTGCGTTAACGAACAATACTTTCTTTTATTCCCCGGTATCTCGAGACTCTTGTAAATGGTTTCTCACGCCTCTTGTTCCGATTGTTTTGCATGCGTATGCAACACTTCTTCGTGGCTCGCTCGGCGTTTCGATTCCCGCGCGTTTCCAGCTACTCCTACCTCTTTTTTCTCTCAACGCATGTATCCCCGTCGTGTATCATTCGGTCTCTCGTCCGCGCTCCATCCAACTTTTCAAATCGGAAACGTTTTTTTATACTCCGCGCGACGGACCGAGATACGAAATAGGTGAAACGGGAAGTGGAAATGGTGTGGGCCTCAAGCGTTATTTGTGTGTGTATGTGGAATTTTGCGACAGATTCACACGGTAATGGTAAGGCAAACGCAAGCTACCTAAAACTAGAGGACGAGAGGACGACAACGATGATGACTACGACGACGCTGCTTCCAACGTGCGATTCTGCCTGGCTCGCAAACGGTGACGCCAGTTTCGAATCAAATAAAACTTTTACAAAGTCAAATATGTCCTTACGATCTCCGTGGAAGCACGAGATAGAATGCGTGAACAACGATTCGTGCGATAGCGACTACGAATCGTTGCCTATCTCGCAAACGACACACATTGCGAACACGATTCAACATGAGAAGTATCCTCAGAGAAGGAATTGGACGTCTGGACAGCGAGAGAAACGATCGGTCACTGGGAAAAAGAAAACGCAGAGATATCATTGGTCCGGCAAGTTTAAAAGATACTCGTATCTTAACGATGAGATCAATAATACGACGATACCAGACTTCGCTTCCGGTGATCATGTTCACGAGAACCATTACAATTACAACTTCGACGCTTTTCATGATGATAAGGCTGCGAGGAGGACAAAAGTATTCCGATGCGATACATTCAATTTGGGTGACGAAAGCAGCGAGAATAATGAGAACGCTAAACAGTGTCAGGATCAATCTGAACACGAGGAGGATCATCGCCAACGAGACAGGAAGAAAGAAGAGCCACAGATTCCACTTCGGTCTAACGATTCTCACGGACCCACAGTATGCACCGTGCTGTATCAGTCCACGTTGAACTTTTGCCATTTTCTTTTATCATTCCTTAAGAATGTTATTATATTCACCCTTTTACCCAGCCTATACGTGGCCTTCTTCATTTACGTGAAAGGAACGCAAGATCGATGAACTATTAGTGCGCATTTTTATTTAATTCACACGGTGCTTACTATGAACGATAATTAACGTTATCTCAACTGCCTTACATTTTTTTATTCTTTCTTTTTATAAATTGTTTTATACTTTTTTTTATATAGCTTTTAATCTTCCGTTATTATCGCGTATTATGTCAACGAAATCGAAACAGCGAGAGACCGGTTTCCCGTGTATCTTATCACCGACATTTGTTTTCGAAGACTGTAACGGAAGCGAACTGCGACTCGACGATACGTAGATGAAAATGTGTAGGAACGTGTGGGAACGAGAAACGAGGCTTTCGCGTTCGCCTGTCATCGCGTCGTGCGCGCGAGTTCCGTGCGAAAATCATTGCTTTCTAGCTATCCGTAAAAGGATGCAGAGGCTCAAACAACTACACCAGCAACAACACCCAACAACAACGACACACGTTTGGAACGTAACGGTCACGAAACCTTGCAGATTTGAGACGGAAAAGAGCAAAGTTTGAGTCACCCAACCTGAGGAAGTTCTTGTTGCGTAGACGTCTGATAGAAAGAAAACAGTTCTCCGACGGTACGAAATCATACGAATTACCAAATCATTGTATACACGTATAAAGTCGCCTATCGAAAAGCTGCTTACCTTAATACACGCCAGAGATACACTAATCGCGCGTTTAGGAATAACGGTTCCCATTTCCGAGACCACCATCAAACGCATTTAAATAATGTATGCATCTGTGTTTGAACAAAGTAACGCTTGTACGTTTCCGAGCTTGAATCCACGGTCCGTGATCGACGATCGATGGTGTAATCGCTTGAGAAACTTTCGATGAACGAAAGGAAACATGTAAAGTAGTTGGCTTCTTTAGACGATCGATCTAAGGCAATTGTTTCTTCTCAAACACCGCGGATCATTCCAGTTTTAATCTGCGTCAATGTTACTCGATGTACAACATTGAGCTGTTAATAAACGATACTTGTATAAAATCCTAATTGTTTCCTTCGCGCTAACTTAAGCCTTTAATGTACTAAACTAACTACGTAATTTCGAAAAAGCGAGATCCTCACGCGGATCTCGCGTTTTTCCATGTATTCCACGATGCGTGGTGTTTCACCCGGAGAAGTCGATGTAGATTTATATGTCGCCGATCGAATTCATGCCCTGTCGCGCTTGTGTTCATTTTCAACTTCATCAGATCGATCGATCAGATTATGCAGTTGTGTACTAAGATCGCGTTTTCTGTTTCAGAGTACGCCCAAAAGTGGGAACAACTATTGGTGCAGCAGCGTGACACCTTGAACACGGCTATCGATCAAGTCAGTCAATTTCGTGGCCAGTTGTTGCAGGAGGAACAGATCAGCCAGAAGATGACGCGAACTCGTAACTCACGATACAATTAAAGCTGGATCCTTACAACCCGCGCGCGTCAGAGTGAAAAAGGAAGAGTGACTGAATCGAGTTATGAATAAGAATAATTGAAGACACGACCACGATGGTGAGAGGAGGGTGGCGACAATGGACGGAGGCTGTTCCGGTTACCGAGAAGGCAGGAGGAAAACGATGGGAAACGAAAAATGTTCCGAAGCGTTCATTGATCTTTCGAGCATGATCTGTTATAGCTTAACAGACGTAATCCAAGATCTGAAGGTAATCAAAAACTCGTTCGCGAAAGGAATGAACGAATGGAGAACGGTAGCTGATAGATACGATCACCGTCCGTCCATATCCTTTCCTTCTGTTCCCACCCTCTTCATCTATCTTCTTTTGCCTCTCTTCTTGTTCCTCGTCGCCGGCTTTTCCTCCTGTTTCAACCGATAATCGATCGCGCGTTTCATCTGACGCGCCATGCCTCACCGATTCATTCATCAAACTAAAGTTGCTCTAAGTATGTACGTACGGATAGATAGGTAGCGACCAAATAAATTAGCGCACGTGCGTGTACGTACTGTCTGCTGTCTCTGTATACGCGCGTGCTCGTATGTGTGTGTGTACATCCGTTTCTGGGAAAGAGAAACATTCATCTCTATTTTTCCTTTTTTTTTTATATTAAAATATATCATCGAGATGTTCTATAAGACGAGAATTCTCGTTGTCTAATTCTTTTAATTGCCTAACTTTAGTTGCCTAATAGGATGGATCGAATATTTTATGAAAATGTATACGTATTACCTGCGAAGATCGCTGCCTTCTCTTCGGCGAGTTTGCGAGTAAATTTAGGGATGTATTGGCTATACAGTCAATCCCAAAAGTTTATGCACTTTAGAAACGCATTTTTTAAAA